AAGCCCCTCCCAAATAAGTCCTACTTGAGTCTGCACAGCTAGCCACCCATCCACTCCATCTGGTTGTTTTTTGTGCTGCAGCAAGGAGGTGAGGCAAAAATCGGGGCATGGGTGGGTGGCCTGGCTGTGGGGGCCTTGAAGTAAGCCGGTGCAGGGTGCTTGGGGCAGCTCCAATTCCCCACCTTGTGGCAGCATTGACACACTCTGCAGCCTTTTGCTCCACTCCAAACAAGCTGAAGAAGTGAGTCTCCCGTACATGGGGGGGAAAATAAGACACTCCCCCGAAAATAAGCCCTCATGCTTATTTTGGGGCCCAAAAGAAAATAAGTCTCAGTCTTATTTTTGCGGAAACCTGGGTAAGAAGACCTCTCCTCCCACAACCACAAACTGGAATAATCCTCTCGGGAAGGAGGAGAACCACTATAAAATGTTGCCTCCTACTCTCGTTCTATAGAGATGATCCAAAATAATACAACAGTTGATATTGTCTAGATTCCTGAGTGTCGCTTCTAAGAACTGCATTTGAAAAGATTTTCCTTGTGAACATAGACTTCCTCCTTGACCAGAGTTTTGGTGGATTTTTTTTCTAGATACTGAAGTCAACCACACAAGCTATGATTGAAGTCAACGTCAACAAGAACTTGGTTGGCTCTGCCATGGCTGGCAGCATAGGTGGCTATAATGCTCATGCAGCTAACATTGTCACCGCCATGTACATAGCATGTGGACAGGTATATATCCCTTCACTTAACTCTGTGTGAATTATGTATTTAAAAACCTTTAAATGCTAATATAACCCCTCAATTTTGCATTGATGTCAGGATGCAGCCCAGAATATCACCAGCTCAAATTGTATTACTTTAATGGAATCTAGTGGGCCTACCAATGAAGATCTTTATATCAGTTGCACAATGCCCTCAATAGAAATTGGCACTGTGGGTGGAGGAACCAACCTGTTACCCCAGCAAGCGTGTTTGCAGGTATGAAAACTGGAGGTTGAACTATAGCTTTCTATTTTGGGAAGGGAATTGTTTTTGTGGAAATCAGCTGAGGATGGTGTTCAGTGATTGATAGAACCAGCACTCAAAATAAGAATTCTTGGACCAGGAGCGTAATTTGACCCCAAGAAAGGATTTCAATGTTACTCCTTGTACTTTTACTCTACCTAGCACTGAACCATACAGTATGCAAGTACAGTTGCATATTCAATGACGACTGTTTCAGTGACTCTTGAAAGCTTTTAGGATGCTGGAGTGGTGATTTCTATTGATCCTCAAAGTTCAAGCTGTTTCAGCAGCACTTCAATTATGTGATTGCAATCTGGGTGCTTGGCAACTGCTTTGCTCTTACAATGGTTGCAGCATCCTGTGGTCATGTGATTACCATTTGTAAACTTCCCTTCTGGCTTCCTACAAACAGAGTCAACAGGGAAGAGCCGCAGGCTAATCAGCTAAGTCTCCCCCCATCCGCTCACCTTCTCACACACCCTCTCCCCACTTTCCTCAACCTGGCAACAGGTGTCCCAAGTCCCTCCACACTTGTGTCACATCTTCACCACCATCACCACCACTTAGGTACCTTCTCTCACCTGCAGCTACTTTCCTGCCTTCCAGCCTGCTTGCGAGCCATGTAAGACTTGCAACTTCCTGCCAACTTCCCCACAGACTTTGGTTGTTGGAAGCTGGCAAGAAGTTGCAAGGAGGTGCTTGCTTGACAACCCACGATCCTTACTGCAATATGGCAGGAATTAGCATTGCTAAGTGATGTGGTCACAAGTCCTCACATTTCATGACCTTATCGTTTAACAATAGAAATTCTGGTCCCAATGGCCATCATAAGCTGAGTACTTACTTCTTGAAAGACCTTGAGCTTGTTACTGTATGAAATATCAGGGACGGAATAGTTTTAAATTGAACATATTCCAACTTGATTATTGTTTGTATTCCTTTTTAATACAGATGCTGGGTGTGCAAGGAGCAAGTGCAGATAACCCCGGAGAAAACGCCCGTCAGCTTGCTAAAATTGTATGCGCGACAGTAATGGCAGGAGAACTGTCTCTAATGGCTGCCTTAGCTGAAGGGCACTTGGTTAAAAGCCACATGATCCACAACAGGTAAGAAGGAAAGAGCCACAATCTCATGGTCTTATCCTATTGCCCATCACCCCACAAAATATAATGTACAATTTTTGCAATTCTGAATTGGTGTACCTTTTGTTTTGAAAGGTCAAAAATAAATTTGCAAGATCTTCAAGGAACAGGTACCAAGAAAACTGTTTGAACACTGACAGAGGCTTGAAGCAACTGTGGCACATTGAAAAATGAAGAGAAATGACAGATCTGTGAACTTCCAAAGGAAGATAAATATTCAAACAGTGAATTGTTGGAAAGAATCTTAGGAAAATCATTGAGTGTGTAGTTTGCATCCAGTTTCCTAATTCCTTTTTCCTTTGTCTACCATAAATGGATGCTTATCTATGGAAAATATTGCAGATGGGTTTTATTTTTTTACATGGGCCCTAGTTTATTCCGAGTCATGCATTTTACAAAATGTGCTCCAAGTAGTCTACACAAGCTTTCTAAGAATGTCAGACTGTTAGTTTTTGGAGTTACAATATTCTCCTTTGGCATACTAAGAGGAAATACAAGTTGCATAACTTTTTTGTTGTTGTTTTTAGACCAATCCATACGGTTACTTTGCAATATTCATCATCATCATGGTTATGAGGCTAACTTGGTATGTTGTGCATATAAATCTGCACCAGCCATCGGAGTAGAACAAGTTACTAATCCTCCAGGGCCAGAAAATAGCCAAGATCATCCCTCCACAAAGTCAGATAACAAAGGAGAGCCTAAGAATGGGTTTTGGCGTTTTGATTGCAGTTACCCACATCTGATCTAAGAGGACACTGAGCTAAATCAGTTGAGCCACCTTTATATTTAGAACTCACTTTTGGAATGCTTCTGTTTATGTTACTCAATATCACAGTTTTGAATATTAGTTTCCATGCTTTTTACAGCAAACATGCCTTGCTGCAAAGCAGGTCTACCTAGTAGATAGGCCATATTTCCAGATTTAAAACCATCAAGTTACAAATGTCAGGTGTTTTGGTCAGATGGTCTTGCATCAGCTGACAGCAAGAGGCATGGTCTCCTGGGCCCAGCCGGTAGAACTAAGTGGTAGTTGGTCAAGAACACTGATGTTGCTTGATCTTTATCCTTATTGATTAATTTCAGTGGCTCTTTTAAGTGGGAGAATATCCCAGGGAATCGCACACATGGTAGCCTTTAATTAGGATAGTTTAATGGAAATGATTTTTAACAAGCAGGTAAAACACGTTTACACTAGTTCTCAATCACCATTTTCGGTTTGACTTCCTTGCAGAAATAGGTGTGTGTGTGTAATGAAAGTTAATCACTGATATCAGTACTGATATTTTTATTTAAATATTTTTGTTCCTGTTGAAACTTTAATTTATTTTTGGGCAAGTTCCAGATTTTATGTTTATTTGTTTAAGAACTACTAACACTCTGGCTTGTGAAAATGAAGGAAGATGAGTTATAATGCAGCAAAGGTAGTTGTGGCTCAATGAACTACATCACAGTGCTATGAAGGAGAACCAACCAGAAGAGGAAGAGCAAGGGTACCGATGCATTTCTCAGCTGTTGCTGGATGCGATGAAGACTCTCTCTTCCATACTAGCTGCAATGACTGAATGGTTTGATTCTAAAACTTCTCATTTTGTGCAAACTCAGTATAAACAACTCCTTTCAGGGTTTACTATCTAACATCTAATTTGTATTAGGATCATAATTCTAATTCAACCCAACACCTATTACTTGCTTGGTATGTGCCGTGGCTACTTGTAAATAGCATTATGAATGTCCATTTCCCTACAGTATTGTCCAGGTAACTTTTTTTTCTTATTTATGCAAAGTTTGAACTTACTGTTTTATTACTGGACTAGCAATAAATGGTTTATTCAGTGTCAGTTTTGGTGAATGTAACTGATACTCTGTCCTTCAGAAAGAAAACATTTTGTACTATTATAAAATTGTGTATATTTGGTACACATCTTTTTCAGTTTCAGTAAAACAGTGCAAAAGCAGCTTTGATTTGTCTTGTTTTTAATCCATAATGGTCATCTACCATATTTTTCAAGATTTTAAAATCATAAACCAAATTTATGTACTATAATTAATGATATGAACTAAGGTTTGAATCAGTATTGTGCAAAGTTACAAAACCAGAATAAGTATATGTGTGTTCAGCAATATCTGTGTACTTGAATTGCTTTCCTAATGTTCTACTCTTTGTTTTCTATTAAAAAGGAATTTTCACCCATATAACCCGCCCACACAAATAACCCGCCCACGCGAATAACCCGCAGGTTTGCAAGATCGTGTAAAATGTTTTCCGTATACCCCGCCCACTTATATAACCTGCGACGAGTAAGGGAGAAGGGAAACTGCTGAGATCGGGGGAAGGAATGGAGGAGAAAGCCTGTGCCAGCTGGGGAGGGGTTGGACGGCAGTTAATCTGTGCAAAAATTTTTTCGTATACCCCGCCCACTTATATAACCCGCGACGAGTAAGGGAGAAGGGAAACTGCTGAGATCGGGGGAAGGAATGGAGGAGAAAGCCTGTGCCAGCTGGGGAGGGGTTGGACNCGGTGAGATTTGAACAGCCGAACTGCAGAACTGCAGTCAGCTGAAGTAGCCTGCAGTGCTGCATTTAACCACTGCGCCACCTCGGCTCTTAGGTTCATGTGCATTAGATCAGGTTCATGTGCACAGGTAGCATGCACTAAATTTTCAGTGCTTTGATCTTTACTGCTTTGATCTTTACTGATATTCCTGATTTCTTGTGCTTGACAGAAGATGGGAGTGGAGAAACCCCATCATGAGACAGCAGAAGATCTTTGCTTTGGGACTGGTGAAAGCCAGCGCATAAATTCAGAAGCTAGTGAGAAGCAAGAAGTGTGTTTATATGTCTGTCTAAGTATTTTGAAGGCAGATGCCTTCTATAGGATCTTTGTATATTTGAAGAAGGTTAATTGGAGGTTAGAAATTGCTGGGAGTTTAGGGACTTGAGGTGTTGCATGGATTTCATTTGGCATTTCTATGAAGTGGATGATCTGTGGGTCTCAAGGAACAACTTTGTGTTCTGGAGTTCTGGACATATCACTCTGGAACTGAATGCCTATCTCTTTTCTTTCACTGCTGGAGGTGGTTTTGATTGGTTAAAGGTACCACATAAGGAGAATGAAATCTAGTCCTTTCATTCTGGCACGTACTTTTGGCTATGTTTTTTTTTTAAATACTTTCCTTGTGCAGATATGCTGCTCTAAGAAACTATGCCTTTAAATCTGCATACTCAGAATGTACATGGTGCAATTCTATAGACCCAAAGAATAGCTTCTTTAATGAAGTACTCATAGCAAAAGCAAACGTCCTTAGACCTATTTTAATGGGAGATACTTAATTTACAAAGGTAGTTTGAGGTCTTGTGATGTTAGGTAATCAAATGAATGCATTCTGATTTTAAAAATTCCTGCCCTAAGAGGTAGTGTGAGTGAGGGATGGGGGGGGGGTTTCACCTTAGATAATCTTCCCAATCAGATTAATATCACCCAAACATTAAAAAAGCAGGGAAAGATGAAGAAAGATCATAAGCCTGTCATTTGTGCCAGCAGACACTCTGTATGCTTTGCACATACTTCAAATCAGCCCTGATGATTGTTCCCTTCACTATGAATTGGGCCATTAAAGAATACAAGAAACAAGAAAATGGAACACTTGCGCCAAACATATTAAAAAGGGGGGAGTGCTTGCTATAACCAAACTCATCCCCACTGATTATAACATTTAGTGAGCTAGGGGAGTTTTTACTGATGCAAGACATAAATCATTTTATGTTACATTTTATATCTCTGCCCCCTCAGTTTAAAATATACCATTTATATCTAAGGAACTGAACACCTTAACAGAGGAAAATGACTTTGCCCACAGTACCAACAATTGCTGTGGAATCTCATCTCTTTGACAGTATGATAGCTAGTTTGCTCCCTGTTGGAATCTCAAGTAGCTTTTTAAGGTCCACAACATCTACGTGTTTCATAAAACAAACCACTGGTTTCTAACATAACCCGATCCTATATATTGAATTAGCCCCCGTCTATACAATGTTTCCAATATTATGACATTATTAAGATATACAGAGATGACAATGGGATGAAAATATATAGAGAAATATAAATAATATCAGTCCTTGTGTGTGTTTGTGTATGTGTTTATAAATTCTTTCTTTTGATGCAATGTTGGATGATGTGATTAGCTTCACTGGGTCTGGTTGAATAGGTGCTTGTTTCCCAAAGAAATGAAAAACAATACAAGTGCATCACACAATCATTTCTAATTTTGTTTCCGGGGAAACAAATGAAAAGGCAGAAGCAAACAAAGGAAATGAATACAGAACTTTCTTTGCTGTTTTTCTCATTTGTTTCACATCAGAGGTGTTCCTGAAATTCTCAGGAATTGGCTTTGCCTATCAGAATGATATATACTGTTACATCCAGGGACATTTCTCTAAAGCAGTGGTATTGAATATTCATAGGTTCATTGAATATGCATAAGGCCATGCAAATGGCCCTCGTTGGTTAAAGGTACTTCAGCCCCTTTATGTCGGTCAGCAACAGCCTCCTCCGTCCGGATTGGTTAGGACGCGAGGGAGGCTGTTGCCGGCTGAGAGTTCGTTCCTATTGGTTGAGCCCCAGTATATATTGTTTTGGCGCGCTAGTTTCTGACTGAATCGCTGTCATACTTACCAAGTTAATAAAGACTGTTGCCGTTCACCCTGTGGTCGCGTCCCTTTTTACAGTTTACAAAACTGGCGACGAAGGTGGGATTTGCAATTCCGC